AAACAACAACAACAACAAAATCTTAGTTTTCTGTATGTCAGGACTCACAATGAGTCTTTTCAGCTACAAACATACCAAAATGACTGAAAATGTTAAAATAGTTTCTAATGAATTATCAAGGTGCTCAGGTACCTAAATAGTTTTCTGCACCTGAAGGAGGAAGGCTATAGCTACTAAAGTTGGTTTTTAAAGCCTCAGTAGAAGTTTCCATCACAAGGTTAAAATACCAGTTTAGGAAACAGCTTTTTCAAGAATGGGCAGGACACTCAAAAACAGATTCCCACAGGAGTTAAGAATTGCCACAGTTCTCAACACTTTTATTTCCCAAAGTTAGATCACACCTCTTTGACATTGTTTTGTTAATGCAAACACACAGCCCATAGTAGGTATATAGACAATACACATCGTTTTATTAAAATAACACAATAGCATTGTGTCTGTGATTCTCCCATGGGGAGTGGACAAAAGAGAAAACACTGCACCCAACAAAGGAAAGCAATCATATAACATGTACAGGTGTCTAAAATGAAATTAAGATAATATTTGCTCGTATAATTCTGTTGGTTTTGACAGAACAGGAAAATTAATATGTAAAATCGTAATTTACATATTATGCAATAGTTTAGAAGCATAAGTTGAATTAATGGCTTTGTGAAAATTTCTCTTTGATTCCATGAATTTGGATAATAAATTATATGAGGAATTATAATTGTCTAAGATGGACTGTAATCACCATGTTTGAAAATACACCCGTGTTGCAAAAAAAGAGGACCATTGTTTGGTATAGCTTGAGAAGATAATGCTGAATCTGATCCTTTTAGTCTGAGTTGTTACCACATTCCTCTATTTTAGTTCCTTGCTCTCATGGTTATGAAAAAATATGTAATATGAATTGTTTTTTTCTTAAGCTGTCTTTTCTGTCAAAAGTAGATAAATAATTATCAAGGCTTTGGTTAAAAGCAGAACACCAACATGTATGATATTCACAAGGCCATAGCTTTTTATTGCTTTATAGTTTACATTTTTGGGATAGTATATGCATCTATTACATTGCCTTACTTAAAACATTAAGCCTGGAGACTCCTTTTTTCCTTTTCCTTTTCTAATATAGAAGGAAAAAAAATGTTAAAGCTCAAAATATACTTCTTACATAGTATTAAATGCAAGAAATCCTAGGCATTAAAAGAATTAATACTTTTAGATTGCTAGGTGGACAATAAACTCAATGGAATAAAAATTCTTACATTAGAAGAGCAAATGGACATTTGCAGTACTAGCAAAGGATGACATGACAGACTGTTTCTAACAGATATTCACCTGGCAGCTTTAATGCATTCTTGCATCAGTGTGTGGCTCTGAAATATTTTCCACAGAAATATTTAACATTTCTGTAGCAGTTTTAAAGGACTATATTCTAAAATGAAATGTAATTTAGATGTGATACTTCTGTTTGTTACTGTTATCTTTAAAACTTGGTTCCTCAAACCAGTATATGGCACAAAGGGTAAAGTGTATGTGTGCTGAGTTATGTACATGTATGCTAACCACGTGCTTGGAAAGCATACTGTCCTTAAAAATACCATCTGTTTTGAGAATTGTTGCTGTGTTTTATTTATGCTTTCTTCATATGGGTATACTATAACAAAAGGGGATTTGCTGAACCATTCCTTTGACGAGAAATAATAGTATGTCTGGGAACTAAGAGCAACTTCAAATTTTGCAGGAGCTTTTCTGCTGGTGGAGCAATTACAATTTTCTCCACAGGAGAAAATGATTAACTGAAAGTTGCACTCAACTTTTAAACTTCTCTACTATAAGCAGTTCCATGGAGAAGTTATTTACAGTAAAGAGTTAAGCATGTGTGTAAATGTTTGCAAAAGATGGGCCTAAGATCATTTGTTTCTGAATGTATTTGTTGTTTTCCCATTAATTTGTGTAATGAAGACCCAACTTTAATTTATGCATATATATTATTTTGATGTTGTTTTGTTATGTAAGGTAGCATGAATACTATTTTTTTAGCATTTTTGTTTGACACTAGTTTTCTTCTCTTGCTTATACAACAGGCCCTGATTGAACATGAGGAAATAAAAACTGAATTTCAAGTCCTGCCAAGTTTTCACCAAGCAAGCCTGGTAACATTCTGCATTATCTTGGAATGTTAAAATATAATAAGTTAATAGTGCTACTATTTGCTTGCAGAGTTGTTAAGATAGGCAGTTCATATTTTGAACTGATAAAACTGGGACGGAAATGAAATAGTCCTTGAAAACATTTTGGTACTTCATAAATCACAAGTATATTTTTATTTTTCTCTCTTTCCCTTTTGTGTGTCTTGTTCATTGCTTTTCTTATGGGGTTTGATTCTCCAACTGCTGGATATAAAGCATTTTGCCTTTATGAAGTAGCATGCTGATTAGGGCATTGGAATCGTAAGACATTCCTCTATATTCATATATATTAGTGCCCATCATTCTATGTCTTTCATTCAAACCATTTGAAAAATTTCAGTATTTAAACTTAGATATGTTTGGGGGATTGCTTAATATTTAGAGACATTAATGATTTATGTGATTAACTATAGTAGATCTCTTGATATAAATTTCTGATGTATGTTTATTCTTACATTTTGCAATTTCTTCTAACAAGTGCAATTTGTAGAAGAAACAGACCATATCTTTGATAAGAAATCTCTATAAATGTTATTATTTAGTGTTAATCATTGTAGGTCCTTTTCCTATTACTATATTTATTTTTGGAAATCTAATTAGTTGTTCAGGAAATATTTAGCTTAAGGTAAAATTGATACAATGTTCTAGGTGCTTCATAAAATGCATGGATGATGAAGGAATAATTGCATGTAATAAATATTGTACTGAATTACCTGTCAGGGAGAATAAAAGTGTATTTTTTAAAAAATTGTACATTCATCTCTTACATTGATTTTTTTTTATTTGTTTTTCCCCTAAAAAGCCACCAGTAATTCAGAAGGAATCTCATGCAGCAGAAAATGAATCTTGGCCTAAAGATGAGCTGTTAATTTATAATAAGCAGGTGAAGCAGGTAAGCAGGTTTAGTACTATTGTGAGATAGTATTAATTTTCCCATGCTTAAGGTTTTGATGCTTTATTGCATACAGATGTCTGCAAGTTGTTTCCTAACCACCTGCCCTATAAAAGAAGATTTTCTATAAAACAGGTCTTCATACTGGTCTTGCAGCTTAAGGTTAGAGGAAAAAACAAATTAAGGTTCATTCGGTCAGATGTTGGGTTAGGCTTTTTTTTTAATGAGATTGGAAAGAAGATTACAAATGAAACAACGTATAAATAGAATCCTAATTGACATTTAACAAGTGGATGCCTTCCTGGAAAAATGGCATAATGGTCAATATCCTTTTGGTTTTACGATATTTCACACATGACAAAAACTGTCATTAGGTTATCAACTCTATGAAGGTTAGATTTTCAGTAGAGAATACGCATCAGGTTTATAGAATACAGAGGAAAAATTTGGTGCTAAGACTGAATAATGTCTTTTCTCATATGCTGTCAATTTGTAGCCTTATGGTATTTCAAGGCTATAACCAGATAATAAAATAAACCCCTAACCTGGTTCCTTCTGCAGCTTTGATGTAAATGATTACTTTGCCTTAAAGTTACTATATATGCTTATTATAAAACAGAATAACACTTTATTATGTTTACAATGGTTCAATGAGAAGGACAACCAAGAACGTGATATGTTTCAACTGGGTAGTGTTATGTGCAGAGATGCCAGATAGCCTTGCCCTAAATGTAAATAAATGAGAGGAACACAAGGTTGGATAAGCTAGATGGCAAGACAGATACAAGTGTTGAAAAGGAGAGAAAGGGACCAAAATGACAAGAGAATGAGACACACACATGTGGGATGCATGTTGATGGCCTAGTATTTGTGAATATGTTGTTTCAAGGTCTAGTCATCATAAGGCAGAGGTCTAGTCAAAATGAGAAACCTTCTGAATGTCTAAGGGCCTTGCTTCAGCTGCTTCTTCAGCTCCTCCCACTGACTGTACTTTGTCCCTGACTGTTCTCTTCAAGCTGCATGGAGAAAGGGATGGAGAGAGGTAGGCAGGTTCCTAGAATTCCAGAGCACTAGCAACCAACTTTCCTGTTCAAGTTTAGTATAGGCAAGAACAAAGGGTGCACACAGCTTACCCTGAAGAGCAGGGACAGGGGATCTCTGGGACCGAGTCACAGGGAGATGACAGAAACTCCCCATCAGTCCTGGTGCTGTATTCTGTAATGGGGCTACAGTGAACATGAAGTAGAGCCCTTAGTGACCTGGTGATATGCTGGTCTGAGCGGTTCCAGTTGGTAGGCATTCTTCTACAGCTAAGGATTCATATTCTTAGAAACTTCTGTAGTGGCAAAATTATTTCTGTTAGATGGGTTAGAGTTCTGCTGAAGAAAATGAAGGAAAATTAAACTATATTACTTTCTACTATTCTGCTAAATGAGAAAAAAAATATTATGTTTTGAAATTTTCCTTAAATAGGTCAGAAATGTCTGTATTTGGAAGTCTGTCTATAGGTCAGTAACTGAAATCTCATGTGCCATCTGTACTTGTGGCTATAATGTTTAATAAAGTTCATAATAATGATGTTTGCAGGTAGTTTTAAGAGTATACTATGCAACATCAGTTGATCTGTTGGTTACTAAACTAAATACGCTAAAAGATGTGTAAACAATACACAACACATTGTCACTGATGGTAATTTTTATAATATCCAGGAATATAGTAAGATTATTTATTACTTCTAAACTATATACTGTTTGTGAATAGAACAGTTTCCCAGTTATTTAAACAGTACTGGGGTACTGTGATGATGGTTTTTAGTGCTATTTTGGGCAGCATGCCACTTCTGTAATGCACTGGTGGCACTGTGGCAAGAATGCCCATCCGTTTGTGTTCAGTGATCTTACAACGCAAAGTAGTTTGCAAGATTGGCACCAGAAAAGATAACATACATTCAGTCCTATTTAATACAAGTCCTAAGTAATTTAGATGTATCATTTAATTTTAAAGTGTGTACTTTCACTTTTATATATGGAAAAAATAATGGAGAAAAAATTTTAGAAAAAGAGAAATGGTTTTAAGAGCCCATAGGAGTTAGCTAAATGCTCTATCGCATCCTTAGCAGAACCATTTCTATACAGAGTAATGGCAATGTACTGAATATTAGTATTTCTATAGAACACTATTCATTGGCAAGTTTTTGTGACATCTTGGTTTTGACATTATTTTGCTTTGCTTAGTGGGCTGCAGGGCCAATGCAATTTCAAGATAAATTGATTGATTATGCAGATGAAATTGCAAATTAGGTTATACACAAAGCACTCACATGAAAAAATGCAGATATTTGCTTTAGTTATTGTAATTTTATGTAACTGAATTATATAAATATTTTGATTAAAATTTGTGTGTTACTTCACTGATATGTCTACAAAGAAATGAAATAAAATATATTATATAAATCTAAAATGTCCACCTAACAGTAAGTGTGTGGCTCGTGTTCTCTGATTTTAAGCTTAAGGCAACTCCCCTCTACTTAGTATACTCTCCATAATTCATTAGCCAGAGTGTGTTGAAGTCTCTCTTCATGATTTATTTCACAAAAAAGACAAGGTCACAGAACATTGGCTTATGCTTTTAAAATAGTAGCTGCTGTAATTTTAGTTCTGGAGGTTTTCATTAGCCATATTGGTGTCTAAGACATCGAAGAATGTTATTGAGTATCTTCTATTACTTTGGATATCACTTACATGGCATTTTTATTTCAGATTATTTGAGTATCTGGGCATTCCAAAAACTGGTAATGGCAACGCATCCAATCAGATTACCTTTTTCTTTAAATTGGACAAGAGATTGACAGAAACATTTACGTGACATTCAAAAACAAAAATCATAGTAATTTGGCTCATTTTAATGATAGCTTTTCAGTTAGATGTGCTACTTTCAAAATTTTCTATATTCCTTATTTTTGTTAGCCTATTTTCTCTATATAAAATTTTGATTGACTTCCAGTTTCTCTGGTAAACATCAAATATTTGACTTTGGTCCTTCATATTTTTTCATGTGTGTGCTGATATAAACAGTGTTGTTGCTTTCAAAAATAAACTAACAATATATGAAACCATTTTAATTTTAAATAAGCCTTTTCAGAAGGTAGTGACTTATTTAGGTATTTTCTACAGCTCTCAGTATCTTTTACCTAGTGATTATGAACTATAAGCCTCCATAATCTTTCCATGCAGTGATTTCTTCTAAGAACTTAAATACATGAAGTTATCAGTAGGTATAGACATTGTGCCCAGTTATATTCTGCGAAAAATAAAGCATGTGAGCAGACAAAGAAGAGTAAAATCCTATGCTTTTGTGATTCATTTAACCAGATATGTGACTGAAAATTTTAATTAGAAAGGCATTCGGTCACAACAATTGTATTCTTTGGGTTCCTATAAACTAAGATAGCCAGCCTTACAGAAGTAATTACCATGGTGCATCAGGAAGCACTGGGCAAAAATGTGGGCTTGTTTTTCATGTTGAGAAAGAAAAATTTTCAAGACAAAGCACTTTAAAATTTGTTTTCCCCACTCTGTTCTGTTTCTGTCTGTCTTTTATGCTATGATTATACTTCTTTATTTTCTTGAACCTGCTTTGTTTTGTTATGTATGCAAGCTTTTTAAGTGGAGTTCAGAGGAATCCTTTATATTGATGGCACTACTAGTCTGTTTTAGGAAGATGTTTTAACAGTTTGTGGGAAACAATTGTGGAATGGTTGAGGTCGGAATGGACCTCTGGAAGTCATCACAATATGGAAAAAGCAGCACAAAGGTATAGATTCTGAATCTGAGTTTTATGAAACACATGCAAATGCTTTGGCAGCAGTGATGGCTTCAGTAGTTCCTTTTCCTTGCTGTTTGTTCTTGCTCCTGGATTACAGTGAGCTACCCCTGACAAAATTTCAATGTGGGGATACTCTTCAAAATTCCTTCTAGAAAGGGAATCAGAGATCTAGATTAATTTCTGCCTTCCCTCCACACTTTTTTTTTTACTATTTTTTTTCAATATGGATCAGTTATCAGATCTATTTCGCAGTGTGAAAGAACAGTTGTTGGTACGTCTAAACAGGTGGTAGTCTAATAAATAGGAATGAACCACTGTGGGTGGAAACAGTAGGAATTCCTTACATTTTGTATTCCTGCTGAAGTTCTTGTATTTAATAAACATAACCTCGAAGAAACTTTTCTTAAATTATCATCCTTTAAACTATGTGTATCTATCTGCTTGAATTTACTTACAAATATAATAAAATTTTAGATATGTTCATGCTCTTTTAAGTTTAATAGTTCTAAATAGTAATATTATGATTTTGATGTTCATTATTCTCTTTGTAATATATTGAAACACACTCATTTTATACACTATTCAGAAATGCAGTTTAGGTAGACCACATTGTTTTGTCACAATTTTCTGCTTATTCTATATCCTGAATAGCTGTCGGCGCTGCTGTGATGTGCATAGTGACAGCAGTTCTAAACTACACTAGTTTAATTGAACTGTGTTTTCCCATGGTCAGAGTTGCTTGCACCTTGTTCTACTCTGAAGTGGGTGTGAAAATATTCACATAACGTATCAGTTTGTAACACTGTGTTTATCTTCTGTTCATGAACGTTTTAGGCTCCATCCTCAGATGTGCTACAGGTGGAAGGAAAAGCAATATCCAAAATTAAAACAGATGAAGTTCAGAAAGAGCTCCAAGAGGAACACAACTTGCAACAATCTTTGCCTCCCCAGGCTTCTAATGTCAAGTAATATTTTAATCTTATTTTAATATTATAAGGAAAATACTGAAAATATATTATTATTGCATAGCATCATATATAAGTTTGGAGAAGAAATAATGCCATCCTCCAAATTTGGATCTGAACACTTGTAATCTCTGATCTAAATTGTCAAGTTTATTTTGGTGTTTCTAGTTTAATTTGCTATTTATGTCCTTGAAATAGTTCTTATTTACGTTTTTTAAAACCCAGAGGGCCTATTCAGTCCTGCTGTATGCAGCTGAAACTTCTCTTGACTGCAGCAGAAACTGAAGTTGCTTATGTGGGGGTTAAATTTGTCCATACAATTCCAAGCATAATCTAATCAAAATAATTAAAAACAAACAATGGAAAATACCACAAATTTAATATAAGCAATGCCAGCTGTAAGTCATCATCTTTAAATAGAGAAGATGTATTAAAAATTCATTAACTTGAATTTGTATTACAGTCAGTGCTTGTCTGAAATTCAGGAGATTTTTACATGGAGAGCTGTAATTTAAGGATAACTGCTTATTACCTCACTCTTGTCATAGGTTGTATCTGTCATTCTGTAGTAGGAGTGCAGATTACAAAAGTAGTACAGACCGTGGCCTAATTGAACTGATCCTGTCCATCCCATGTCAAGTGAGACTCTTCAGTTTTATGGTCTTCACTGCTAATAAGATCTTTATAGATAGCTTTGTTTAGATGTACCATAGGTTGCTTCTTCGCTTCTCTATTGAGAAAAGGGGGAAAAAAATAGAAGCAGCTTTAATTATTAGCTTTTGTTGTTCTTAGGGTCCTGAAAGGTCTACTGGATACAGAAGAGAGCCTTTTTATGGCAGGCCTGAAGTTTGTAAATGGATAATACTTTCAATTAAGTAGCTGAGAATAGTCATGGGAAAAGAATGCTTAAGTTTATGAAACAGTCAAATTGGCATTTAAGTGACCCTTTGCATGCCATTGCTTATCTGCATTGCTTAAAGATCATTTGGTTAGCAAGATTATATATTAAAACAAATAGTGTCAACAGACAATGAGTGTTTTACCTTCAATAAATACTTACTGTCAGATTATCAATGGTGCAGAAACTGCACGATTTTCTAAAAAAACCCGTATTTAGTGCATTAAGTGAAGGTAATGTAGGCCACACACATAGTATTGTTTTTTCATGTCCTCTTTTTTCAAAGAATGATAAATAGTCTGTTTTAGGAGAGTGTGTGCTGTAAAAACATTCACCTTTACCTGCAGAATGCCCCAAATATTTTAGTTTACAATGATAAAACATTCAGTTCATTCAATGAAATGATCAACTTCTCTACAAGAGGAGTAATGATAATGCAATCAAAATAACATTAAAATTGTTTTTATTTAAATTAAATCACAAAACTTAGAGAAAAAGTTCCTAGATAATTTTAAAATTATTTTGCCTGATGTCATTTACAGAAATCACTCAAAATGTTGTAAGTTCAAAGTTAAACTGCTATGTATTTTTATTTTTTTTTTTTTAATTGTGTGGTAATTGCATTGCAGAGAAAGTGCATAGGAAAGTGTTAGAGCATCCTGAGGTAAACTAGTGTAAACATTTCTGAAGATGATATACTCTCTATCAATTTAAAAAAAAAAAACAGTGTGAAATATTTCTTTCTAATTATGAATTAATGTGATCTTATTAAATCACTGATCTCCGATTTCACACTCCAAAATAGTTACTTCTTTCCATTTATGATGTAAATGTATCCAGTTAGTTAAAAAAAGTATATCATTTATGTTAAATGGGGTTGCTATAAGCATGCCTTAAATCCTAATCAGTTTTATGTATTGTCTGATTGAGTTGTTTTTCAAACTGGATATTTAATTTTTATGTTTAAATTTCATATTTTATAACCTTCACCCTGTTCTCATTCAGGCAAAAATGCCACTGATTTCACTAGAGACTTTGGATTGTAAAATCTAGTGAAACAGTCTTGTTGAAACATAAAGTAACTAGGCTCTTTTCTGTATATTAAAGTTGTACGGCTTGAAAAAAATATTTTGAGCAGTTTTATTTAACGTAAAAAGACTATTGACCCTCTTTCCTGTTGGGTTGTCACGTGCCTATAAACATGGGGACTCAAACGATATTAATATAACAGATATATAGCTGGTATATACATGATGTGATAATTTCTTGATTGTGAGTGAAATTTCTATTATTACCCTGATTTTCATAGGTTTCTTTGTTTACATGAATGATTTTTCTTTTACTTTTTTCTGTCATTATTTTTCAGAAAACATAAGCAAATATTTGTAAACTGAATATGTATTGCAGGATAAATCAATATTGTGGTTTTCCTTTTACTTCTGTAGTTCTTGTTGAATTCCCTCTATAATATCTGTTTATAGCATAAGGCATAGTTTTCAGTAAAACAAAAAACCCAAGTTGTTGAAAGTGTCAGGAGAACCTCAGAAAAATAGTTAAACATGAGAATTATTCAGTGTAATTTCAAAGTAGAATTTTAACCCATTTCATTTGGGATTTCCTTTTAAAATATGAAGACATCTGTGAAATTTAATTAGAAGTAGCATGTGTTTAGGGGGGCATTTCTGATTTTTTTATATGTCAGACATTTTTCGTATACTGCTCTTCACATTGTAACTGTCTGGACGTTAGACATTTATTAACTTTGTAGAGTTCATACGGTAGCTGGAGACTGTTTTTAGAATTTGATCCATGGCCTGTGGAAGTCAATAGACTTTCATCACCTTCAGTACAACTTAGATTGGAGGGTTAAATGATAGAATTTTTTAGTTATTAACTTTTCAAAGATAGTCAAAGACCCAGTGTTTCCTCTAAAATCAACAGCTGAATTGAAAAGCTAGGAAGAAGTTCAAGTGATAGCATATCATAAAATTAATTCATAGTTTTAGGGGTATTTACAAGGTCATGAGAGAGCATTTGCAGATGAATGTATATGTAACATTTTAACATAACATTTATTCACATACCAAATTTAAGCTGTAAATCCGCATTACTTGGTTTAAGTTTTCAGTGCAGTAAGTGAAAGCTCTACTTAATTTGGGAAAGTAAAACTGTGACTACTGCACTCATTTTTAACCTTAAAATCATTACCAACATTTTAGCTTTTGCCTGTTTTTCTTTTGTAAATAATATGATCTCTACTTTTAGTAGAAACTACTAGACACTTCATGCCAAATATTTATGTTAGCCATTTATATCCTATGGTCTGATGTATGTCATGCTGTAGTATTTGATAAACTATGTACTTTAGAGTATCGAGAATGGATATTAAGATTCTTGGTTTCTTTGTTTTCATTTCTAGAGTTCAACATTATCCAGGCATTCATTGTTATGTACTGCTTTTCTTGGTTTTATATTGCCTCTTCATTTACAACTGGTTTCCAGAGTTTATCATACTTTAGACAGAAGAGGTCACAATAGCAACAACAGCAGAGGACATGGACAATAAGGAGGAGGAACCAACGTGTTCCAAATATATTTATTTGAAAGAGCAAGCTGAAAGGAAAAGGTATGAACTTACTTATTTTCAGAGTTACTATGATTTAATTAATTTTGTAAGTTAAAGGATTACATGATCAGAAATAACTTTCATGGTGTTTCAGTATTTAGTGGTTTCAAAGAAGTGTCAAAGAAAAAGATTTGAAAAAATTTCCCTTATTTTGTGAATATGTTTTAAATCGATTAGAATAATAGTACAAAAAGGCTTGTATCTTTATTAGAATGTAAAATGTATTGTTTATTTTTAAAAATAAATTGCATTTTATAGACATTTTAAGTAACATGTCACAATTTAAGTTACAAATATATGAATTTTTATACTTCATCCTACTCACATGAGAGGTCCCATTGAAATAACAAGAAATACTGAACAAATAGAGTAGGTTTTAAATGACTGTAAAATTTGGCAATAGTAAAAGGTTTAAAGTGCACACCCACTAGCCCTTTATCACAGAGACAATCTTACCTCAGCCCTGATTCTACAAGCACTTAGGAACAAGCGTAACTTTAAGTAATTGAATGGAGTTCTGTTGAGCTCAACACATGCACAAAGTTAAGCACATACAGAACTGGGACCTAGATAAACATAGTCAGAAGTACTTGTTGCATATGTAAAAGGTAGTCGTGTGATAACTGCAAAATCCTACGTCTTTAATGAATTAGAAGCTGAAGTAGAACAAAATGCATAATAGTTAATTTTTCTGAGGTTGATGCAGTATGTAAAAAGAGATCTGTCAAAAAGATTGTTGTATAAGAAGTAGTGAGAAAATGTAAATAGATTTTGGAATAAGCCTACTCAGTTTTATCATGCTGTTATGTTACCAATTTTTATATTTGATTGGAGTGAATTCTTAAATCTTTGGGTTTTTAATTGATTTTTTGGACATGTTTTAAACTAAATTAACGTGCATATAAATGAATATAAAACATCTTCTTTTTTTGTTGCTTATTATTTTGGTTACATTTTTGCTTTTTTGTGCCTTTATAGCTTATATAGTAATGTCAAATTCAGAATTGGAGCCTTAATACTCTCAATTTTTTCCTGATGATTTTTCACACTGACAGTTTGCTAGTTATAGTGTCTGTGTGTCACCACTCCAGAAATATAAAATTACTTCACTTCAGTCTGTAGTGATCTAAAGAATGGTAGAGTGGTAAATAAGGATAAGGCTAGGTCAGTTTTACAGGGCAATTTGTGTAGCTTGTTAACTTGGGCTCACTTGAAAAACATGCGTTTTAGTGCAGCCAAATGCAAGGTCATAAGGATAAGAATAGGGAATTAGGGTCATCCTTTGCAGAAGGGGAGATTGTATCCTGAAAAGCAGTAACTCTGAAAGGAGCTTTACAGTCTTGAAAGATAAGCAACAGAAGATGGCTGTGTAATACTCTCTGAACTTTAAATTAAACGTGTTTACCTTAAAATAAAGGATGTGAGACTTTAGCAATAATACAGAAAAAAAGTTTTGGGATTAGAAATATTATACAGAGCT